AAAAGAGACCTTTTTAATATTTGTTTGAAGATATTCCATTTATCCTCAGTGTTTTTCACTGAAGAGTTTATGCCAGTCAGTATGTTATGAAGCTGCCCTAATCTTATTGAAATTGACCCTTTTAAAATGACATGTTTTAGTATAATCCATGTGCATTTACTTTGAGGGTTTTTTTTATTTCAAAAGACACCATATTGTTATCACTATTTCCCAAGTGCTCCCTTGCTGGAAAGTTTATCAAAAGATCTGCATTGTTTTTTTTTTAATTCTCTTTTTTTATTGAGTGGTATATGTATCATATAAAGAACGTAATGGTGAATCAAACATCGCATAACTGGGATAACAAAGGCATTTAAACAGATGAAGCATATACATTCGTCCTCAGCCAGGTCTCCCCAGCTGTAAGGTTGCAGGTCTTGGACTGCCACCCAGCTCTCCTGCAGGGTATATTGGGGCCAAATTGAGCTGAGCAGGTGTTAGTAGTCCTGCTCCAGCTACCACTCCATTGTCACCAGAGATGTCAGGTCTTGTCTCATCTCTTCAGTTGAAGCCCAATCATGCATGCCCTCCCTGTAGTTGAGACTCTCCAGCGCTCCCAAAATCTGGTTCTGCAAAGGCCTCCCACAACAGGCGAGGGCCATTGTAATCCTCACCCTCGGGCCTGTTGTGCCATCCAGGGGGCACGCCGAACCGTGTACCACTATAGCGCCGGGTACACGTAATTTAGCCACAGCTCCTTCCATACCAGGCTCTCGAGCTCCGTCGCCTACTCATCTAGTGGCTGCTCTCCCAGGAGAGGCATATGCATGGCCACTCGCATCTGCAACCGCTGCTCTTCACTGGGGAAGCAATTGTCCCGCCGATGATGTATGCCCTCCGGTGCCTCATGCCAGAAGTCTTTCTGGACTTCATCCCTCCAGTCCGGGTCATCCTCCTCGTATGTGAACGCTGTCCGGGGACTAGCTGGTTCCATACTGCTGTAGACAGAGGCGCTGTATGGATACTAGCGTTGCCCTCAATTTGTAAATCCAAACGGTGTCTCCAGGATGCTTCTATACCCACTAGGAAGCCATCCCACCGCTACCACCAGATGTGACGGACTGACTGGATACCTCTGCCAATCAATGCTTCCTAGTATCACGAGTACTATAAGCACTCCACCAGACACCATAACTACCGTAGCCCCTTAGCCGCTGCTTGGCTTGGTCTCGCTGTCCCTTCTCACCCTGAACTCTTACACACTCTCACTAACACACACACAGTCCCTTAAACATTCTCACTAACACAGTGTCACTTGAACACTCTCACTAACACACACAGTGTCACTTATACACTTTGGCTAACACACACACACACTGTCACTCAAATACAAACTCACATCACTTTACATAAAGTCACACATTATTAACGCACACAAATACAGCAATTTAAAACACACACACACACACACACACTCTCTGTCTCTCTATAACCCTTAGCCTGCCATACTTGGGTGCTGTGAAGAGGAGAAGAAGTCCAGCCTGCAGGTAGCTGCTCTGTTCCTGGTAGGGGAAAGCAAGAGAGCCGTGCACTGTGAGCACAGGCTGCTGAGATGGCCAGACATGTTCTTTCAGAGCTCTGGCACAGTTGTAACGTAACAATCAAGTTACTTACAGTAACTTGTACTAAAGGTGGTTTGATGCTGCACTGATTGGTAATTTGTGGATGCACATACCATATCAATTTGTCTAGAATTCAAACACACGTACCATGCCGCCTAGTATGAATGAGTTTTCTTGTTGCCCCGCATGCCCCCTTGTGGACTGGTGGGGGTCATCCTGGTCCCCGCTGAGGAAACCAACCAATTTGCACAAATGCCGTCTCTTGCTGAGCCAGCGACCACATGGCGAGCCCAAGATGGCTGCTGCACCCTCAGGAGGGCTCAGAAAACCAGCAAAGCTAAGCGTTCTGGAGGCACATTAACAGAGGCCACCCTTCCGTATTCTACCTGCAACATTGGAGCACACTGCTGTGGTGGTTCACCATTCTTGTTCAGGGCCTTAGGTCCATTCAGAGGTGTACTCCGCCAGCTACCCAAAAGACGAGAGGACTCCCATGTTACTGCCCAGTGGAGCTGGAGAGTCCTTGGATGTGCGACACTGACACCCCTCAAGACTTGGACTCAAGGAGGAGAAGACTCCGGGTGCAGCGGACCTTCTGTGGGCCCTATGCATGTAACCCAGTTGTACCTGCAGGACTGTGGGAGGGCTGAAGGCACACAAAAATGGCTTGGAGAAGGACTATGTCCTGAGGCATCCTCGTGGTATCGGATGACTCCTGGATGGCAGAGACACTGCTTAAATCACAGCTATTATTCTGTACACAATAAAGGATTGTATGTTCTATCCCCTATCTCTTTTCATTTTCATGAAATGCTTAGTATCCAATGGTATTATCCAATGGCTCTCATCTGTCTTAGCTGTTAACTTAGCCTGTTTAAAAATACTTATTTTTCTTATACAAAAATAGTGCATTTTCTTCACATGTCAAGTAACACTTTGACTATTTCTCCTATATTGTGTATAAAAGTGAGTTGATATATATATATAATTAATAAGAACAAAGCATACAATTAGTCTCTGAAAGGTAAATAAACAATACACTCTCATAGTGTCACGATTCTGGAACCTAACACGCTAACAGGTCACAGATAGGAGGGATGTTATACCGGTCCTTAGAGTGGCCGGACTAAGTACACTAAGAATAGTCAGGAGACAAGCCAAGTAAAGGGAGCCAGAAAACGGAAGACTGAGAAACAAGCCGAGGTCAAAGGAGTGGAGAATACAGGAAAATTGGAATAACGAGCCAAACAATCGGTAACCAGAGAGCAACACGAGAAAACTGCACTACTGGTATCACAAGACCACAACAGGGCACTGAGAGACAGGAAAGGTAAGTATAAATACCCTTTGCTTAATTCTGATTGGATAACTTCCAATCATAATTAACAATCACACGTGGGAGATGTCTATGCCTCCCACTGTGATTGTGGTACTGTTGCTTTAACGCCGGGGTCACATGAGTGACCCCGGCGTTTGCATAAATTTGTGACCTCCCAGCGTGCAGCGTTATACATGCTGCCGCTGGGAGGCATGGAGGACACGAGCAGCGAGCAGCGGAGAGGAGACGCCGCTCGCCGACAGGTAGGAGGAGGGGAGACTGCGGGCGGCGACGGACTGAGGGTGAGTGCCGCAAGTGGTGTGCAGCCTCCCCTCACAGCTGCCGCGGACCCCTGACACATAGGGTAGTACAGTAATATCCAGTAATTGGAAATAATATTCTATTTAGGTAATCCACTCACTGACTGCATGGGAGAGCAGCCCACTTAAGAGCTGGTGCCCTTCATTTATTTCTGGTGAGGACCTAATACTCTTGAAAGAGATCAACATTTCATACAAAGCTGTGTTACGTGAGCCAGTTTTTTTTAAGAGGCTCATTAAAATGTGAGTGGATTACCCATAGAGAATATTATCTCCAATTACTGGATAATACTGTACTATCCTATCAGAGTGTATTGTTTATTTACCTTTGATATATAGACAAATTGTATGCTCTGTTCTTATTAGGTCTATATATATATTTATATAATCACCTCACTTCTATACACACTGGATAGAGTGAG